AATTTAGATGCATATTCCTTTACAAGGGAGGTATTGCATTCTCTATTCTACTCATACTTTGCTATTGGATCCTCACTCTACAGGGGATACCAGCGTGCCATGGTTAAGTCAATGACATTAGCTGCGAAAATTCCACATTTTTATTTTATAGAAGAGATGAATTGCGATGCACTTGTGGAGCTCAAAAAATCATTCCAGAATGAGAATTCTGATCCGGAGATCAAGCACACTTTCCTTCCTGTCCTAATAAAATCACTTTCCATGGCTTTAACTACTCATCCCATGCTAAATAGTCGCTTCAATGAGGAATCCTATGAGGTCATCCTAAAAGGTATATCAAAGCGAAATCTTAATTTCCAATCTCAAAAAATGTTCCCATGTTCATTATTGACATAGTAAAAATGGCTTGCTTTACATGATTTTGTGTTATATGCTGCTACTATACTTCCTTTTCGTCATTCACGCTTTCTTTGTCCCTATTAAAGATAATCTTTTCTTTCCATGATCTAGGGTCCCACAACATTGGAATAGCAATGGCTACTCCAAATGGTTTGGTTGTTCCAAACATAAAAAATGTTCAGTCTCTCTCAATCTTGGAGGTCAGTTGGCATCTACTATCCCAGTAAATTTAAATCTTGCCATAGGCTACTGTACTGAAATTGACATTTTTATATATTTGTTTTTACCCCTCATATAATTACATCTCTACATTGCTTGTTATAGTCTATTAAGTGGAGGCTGAGATTACTAATAGAAAAGGTTTAAGAAGTGTGGAAGTTCCTTTTTTCAACAAAAAGAAAGCATAGAAATTCCTGGTTATTCTGTGGATTCTTGTGTTTGCGTATTACTTTAATATCATATGATGTGGGTACAGCCTTATTCTCTATGTGTATGTAAATTATTATTGAAAATGAAGGAATAGAAAGAATGTTTAGTTTGGGCTGAACAAACAGAGAAGTTGTTAAGAGATATTTAGGAGGAATCGATAAATGAGGATCTAACGGCAGTGAAGCTTGGGCTAATTTATTGATGCCTTTTGTTATTATCCTTGAATCGATTTGGTTTTACATGTTCAAAATTGCAACTCCTGTTATTTGAGTGTTTAAGCCAGAGAATAAGGTTACGATTGGAAGAGTCTCAGAAGTGGGCATTTTGGTCCTGGTGGAAATTTTGCTCAGCTCAAAATGTGACAATTCGGGTCGAGAAAGATCATTGTAGTGAAATTAAAATGATAGAAGCACTGCTTCTCTATTCTGTGGTGTTGGAGTACAGAAGCTAGAAGATGAATCTGCTGTCACTAGTTTGACTAACTGATGAATGAGTTTCATATAAGTGTTCCAGACTTATAAAATGGGAAAAAGGAGGAGGATACGTAAAACTTGTGCACAAAAGGAGTATGTTGATAATTATGTTGCTTCCACAGACAACCATGTTTATTAGTTGAGGGATGACCGTTGTGCGCATTTTCTGCACCTGACTTGTCTTACCATAGTGTGAAAGGAGGCTGAGAAAACTTTTGACTATGAAATCTCAGAACGAGACTTTTCCCTCTCCATATTCAACCCCCCCCCCCCCCCCAAAAAAAAAAAAAAAAAGTGATAAGTGCTATTTTCCTTAGTCCAAGATCAATTCCTTTTATCTTTTTGCTGTATCTATTTACACTACTAAATGCATGTCTTTGCTTCCTTTTGAGCGGAGTTGTTAACTGAATATATGTTTTCTGCTACAGATAACGAAGGAACTGTCACGACTACAGAAATTGGCTAAGATAAACAAGCTTAGTCCTGATGATATATCAGGGTCAACTATTACTCTAAGCAATATTGGAGGAATCGGTGGAAAGTTTGGTTCCCCACTTATAAATTCACCTGAAGTTGCCATCATAGGATTGGGCCGGATTCAGAAAATTGCACAGTTTACTGAAGATGGGGATGTATATCCTGCATCAGTCATGACGGTATGTTGTGGTTTAAAGACCTTCACGATCCACCCCTCACACATTAATTGTCGTGCAATGCATTAAAACAAGACGTTTCCCTTTTTTCAGATTAATATAGGTGCAGATCATAGAGTTCTTGACGGAGCAACTGTTGCAAGGTTCTGTAATGACTGGAAAAAATTTGTGGAAAAGCCAGACCTCCTAATGTTGCATACAAGATGAATTCTCGTCCCTGGAAGTTGATCGGAAAGAATGTAAGTCTAGTCTAAGCTAAAGGCTCATATTGTTGGTGCCTTCCTTCTCTTTGTTGGTGCAAAGATCAATTGGAGCTTATAGGTGTCCTGAAAGAAAGAATCACTATTCTAATAAACCACAGTGTTAGCATTCAATGCAACCAAGTTATTCTCTATATAGCTGTTGCAACATTTCCCCCTTTTTCTAATTAGTATTTGTTTTCATTTGTGGTAGTCAGCTTTCTCTTCTATAAAATAAATGTTAGACCTGCTAACATTGTTCAAGTTCAAGGAAATTTTCTTACCAGTAAATCGATACGTAAGAGGGACATATCACTGTTGAAACGAATGCTCTTGAAAAAAAAATTGGGCGTTGAGAAACAGTTGTTATGTTCTCTAAAACAACAGTATAGTTGGTTCTGTAGTTCAATAAATAGATGCTTTATGCTGTTAAAAAATTAAAAAATATTCTGGTAACACCACAAAATTATGTTCTTCCAATATAAAATTCTATACACACATTTTACTCTTGAAAAATAAGTCTAAGCAAGATTTCACTAGAAGTATTCTAGTCTTAACGTCAGAATGTCAACGAGGCATGTTTATTGTTTGAAGTAGACTTATAGCCCGTTTGGCCAAGCTGCAAAAATCAGCTTATTTGAGAAGTGCTTTTTTTCAAAAGTGCTTTTCTCAAAAGTACTTTTGGTGAGAAGCAGTTTGTGTTTGGCTAATTAGTTTGAAAAGCACTTCTGAGCAGCAATTAGTGTTTGGCCAAGCTTTAAAAAACTGCTTTCTAAGTGTATTTTTCTCAAAAGTGCTTCTCAAAAAAGTGCTTTTGGAGAGAAGCTACTTTTTTCTGCTTCTGCTTCTCCTCAAAAGCACTTTTTTTCCTTTCAAAAGCTTGGCCAAACACCTCAATTTTTGGCCAAAAGAAGCTTGGCCAAACAGGCTATTAGGCTGTTTCAGCTTGACTATGATTGATTCTGAGGTCTAGTAGGGGGGGGGGGGGTGTTTGCAAAAATGTTCAAACCATATACTTCAGGGTTGGTTTAAGAAAAGTTTTGAGAGAGACAGGAAAAAGAAAGAGTGAAGTTTTTGGCTTGTTATATTGCAAAGTTCTTTAAGTTGTAGACCAGAAAAGAGCTTCTTTTGGAGGGACAATAGTTTTACACTATTTTAAGAAGAGCACATTTCAACAATCTGGATCATATTACTACAGATTGGATCAAGTAGATGTTCTAGTTTTTGGTTTAGCTGCTTTTCCCATTGGCCTTTGAATTAGCAAAGCATCCAAAGAGTTGCTTTAACTTTTCCCTTAAAGTCCATCTCAAGCTACATCTTGTTCTAAGTGATGTTTAACCAGATTTACTCATCATTGTGGGATCTCTTTTCTCTTAACTATTCCTTTCCTGCAATGGATCCAGTGGGTAAAGATTGCTAAATTTATTCCATCTGTTACGTCATATGTCACGACATGTCGAACTAAAACAAAATAAAAAAAAAACTATTCATTCCTGCCAATCAAGGGCGAAAACTATAAGAAACTGCAACAATAGCAAATGCATGATAGGGAGTGGTCCCAATCTAGTCCATTTCTTGAGCAAGTAACAGGCAAAGACAAGCATCAATAGAGCTCTTTTACAAGTTAAACCCCAGTTTTGTTCAAGTGGCAGAATCTTTGTTCCTGGCTAGAAAACATGGAAAACTCAACACTTGTCTTCCGAAAGTGAAATGTGAGGAAGGAACAAAGGTTAGTCACCTGCCCATGGAGTACATAGAATTTGGGAAGACAAGCAATATATGAAATTACTTTTAAAGGGATAATACATAAGATGCTTCCTGAACTTGTCCCCAAAACTCAGTTTCCCATTCGATCTTTACGGGTGTTCCTTTTTCATTCTATACTTGTCCCAAATGAATTTAATGCCACCATAAAAGCTGATGTGGCAAAAAATTAAAAAATATTAAAGTGGAGGCACGTATTATCAAAATTTAAAATTAAAAAAATGACTTTTTGACAAAGA